GAAGCCTGGAAATATTGTTTGGTGGAAAAAGAACAACTGTCCATTGCTTCTTGACTCTCTTTCCTTATCAAAATCAAGCTTTCAAATAGAGAAGAAGATTTTGCTGTATCAGTATCAACTATCTGCTTCCTCCTTTTCTTTATTGTCAGACAGTAGAGAAGAGGAGGAAGCAGAGTTCTTTCATTGAACTGCACTTCATTTTTAAACCCTTTTTGAAAATTTGTGAGGTTTGAGTCAGTGAGAAGACATAGAATTTCTTGCAGTCGAGACGAGTACCATCGTTGCTTAGTCGAGTTGAACGAAATCGATGCAAGGGATCTTCGTGTGCAACCCAATGACAGAATCGGCGACGCCCGTCAGGATCCTTTGGACAAGATCCTCTAGTCCCATGCTCCCTTCCAACCTCATATAAGCATGTGAATGTTTTTTGCAGCGGGTTCTTAATTTCTCTCCAGGAGATCTACTATAACTGCATACTGCATATTATTTTGGCTCATAATAATAGTTCTACATCATTTAAGTTACGTGTTTATCCGCTGAGATTTTCTCTTCTAACCTCAGCGGACTTTTTGTTACGGTTGTCCTCTTTAGGCAGCAGTGTTTATCCGGTTATAATCATAGTTCAGCAGGTATAGTCCAATACTGGTAAGGATAATCTTTAAGACGATAATCTGAAATTTAACTGTTATTCTTAATGTATATGAACTCAGGTTTTCTTTGTAATATCTTTTTCGCTTATGTGTAAGGGAACCATTTATATTGTTTTTGGCATTAATCTAAGTACGCTTTGTTCTTGTGATCTTGCTGTTTTTTTGTCTATATATTCAATGAAGTATTCTTATTGCACATTGTGAAGTGATTTGTCGAGAAGATCACCCCAATGGAAACTGATCCTCTGCGCTCTAGAGTTTCATATTTCTCCACTCCATCTCTCTAAGCACCGATGGGTGCCCTTTATTCCAAAAGTGTAAGACGAATGTCAATGTTTGGCCGTAAGTGTAGAATTTTTCTCATTTTTGTTGTAAATAGTTGTTAAAGCGGAATAATTGCTATTGGTATAACATGTCCTGTCTCTTCATTGAATAGGTAGAAAAGAGAAAGAGGCCTGCTTTTCTTACTTTGGATTATGAAGGGTGAATTATCTGCAAAAACGTTTTGGTCTTTAAGTGCAATGTTGGATATGTCGAAGTGGCTAATATGATAGTATGAACCACTGCAGTGCTAGAGAAAAGGAGGAAAAAGAGTATATAATCAAAGTAAAGAGAGTATGAAATGTTTTTTCAGAATCTGTGGAGTTCGCTCTCAAAAAGGAGTTGGACGACCAGAAGATCCGGTATAAGCCAGAGAGCTTGGATGTTCTAATGCAAGAAACACATTTCTCAAAATATGAATTGAAATATCTTTATCAGTGTTTCAAGCAGGTTTGCATTAAAATACTCGTAACAGCATAGTATAGAGAGAATCTTTCAGTTATTTTAAATTAAAGTTATATTCATGAACTAATACTAAAAACTAGTCAGATTTT